AAGTAAGACAATATTATTTTGAATTTTATAATAATGATATACCCTGCCACTAATACTACCCCCCTCCTAGTAAAATATCCTCCTGGGTATTAATCAATTTATTAGGGGGTAGATTGATTAATACCCGGGGTATTGTATGCAGTGGTATACGGTAGATATGAATTTACGATACATGTGTTTTTCCCTTTATAGGAATTGACTACTACCTATTTACTTAATGAAACTACCTAGAGAAAGTTCTTATGACTTATCCACCAGTCGGCTTATTGCTCTCCATTCTTCCTATATTATCAATACCAGGGTCCTGATAGCATAGGTAGAGTGCTAATGTGCCAGAATGTGCACCTTCTAGTCCCACCCACCATTTGATGAATAGAAACTCAAAGAACCATATTCTAATACAATCAGTCGTGGACTAGCCATATCCAACAAGAAGTTTTTGTGGCTCTAGTTTAATCTCTTGAAAAATTAGTTTGTTTCTTTTATAATCTTGTGAACTAAAGAGGTAAGGAAGTATGCTCTATGTATAAGAAATGGGAGAAAGCACCAAACTTGACAATGATCATTGTAACACTACCGGACAATCATCACACTACTATACTTTTCTTAATATTACAATCCTAACGTCTGTTGAATCAATGTGTGAACTGGTTTCTTATAGGAAACAGTGCATATTAGGTTATGGCATCAGATATCATTTTGAGACTATCTAATTGCTTTTACCTGGAACTGAACTTGGTATCTTGTGATGGCGATCAGAAGATGCTGATTCTTTTCTTCTGGTTTGAGGTTTCCATGTTAGCCCTCTGGAGGATTTGAACCATTATCTTGTGATCTGATTTGCAGAGTACTAACCACTGTGCTATAGACCCACAGGTCTTTTTATACTTCTTTGTTATATATCTGATATATTTGATATACTTACTGTAATATACTTGGTATACTTAATATTCTTTTTTTATTTTTTTATCTTTTTATATAACTATTTTTGCCTTTAATAGTATTTATTCAAATTTAATAAAAAACTTTATAATATAGTGTATATACTGTATATATAATATAAAAAAAAAGATATAAAAGATAATTGTTATAGATTTTTTTCTATACAACCAAAAAACAAAAAGAACCTTTGAATCTGTTTATTACTTAATCAAAAGTCTTATTTTGATACAATAGTAAATCTTGAACTTTTTATATTTTTAAGTTTATAACATATTCTTAAAAAATAAAGAGAGAAAACCATTTTTTTAATGAAAATTACTATAAAAAATTTTTTTCAAAAAATCAATGATGAATAAGTGAGAGATTTTTTTTTTAATTAAAATTAATTAATAATTATAATTAAATATAAAAATTTTTATTATTATTAAAATTTTATTATATAAAATTATCTATATTTAATATTTTTTAAATAATATTTGTTATTTATAACAATATAAACTCTAAAAGATATATTATAATAAAAATTTATTTAAATTTAACAAAATTTTTATTATATGTAAAATTTATTATAAGAAACAAGTTTGTGTAATATATAAAAATTGATATTATTAATAAAATAAAAAATTATGTATATAAAAACTATATAAAAATTGATATTATTAATAAAATAAAAAATTATATACAGTATATAAAAACTATTTTTAACTCAATATAATAATTTTTAATAATTTGTTATTTTTAAAAAATTGTATATTTTATTAAATAAAATTTAAATACCAGATAAACATTTATGAAAACTTAATATTTAAATACTTTAATATATGCTAAACAAAATTTATTAATGTTAAATTATTTATTAAAACAGTAGTTATAAAAATTATATAAATGTCAAAATTATAACAAAAAAATTAAAAGATTTTTATTTAAAAAGAAATTGTTAAATGTAATAATAAAAATTTAACCATATATAGAATTCATTATAAGAAATAAATTTACTTAATACATAAATATTATTCTTATTAATAAAATAAAAGGTTTAATATATGACAACTATTTTTAATTAATTATAATAATTCTTAAGTGGTTCTTTATTTATTGGGAAAAACTATATATTAATAAAAAATTTATTAAAAAATTGAATTTTTTATATTTCAATTCTTAATTTTATTATTTTATTTTTTATACTAATTATCATTAATAAAAATTTATTAAAATTTATTCTTTAATACTAGCTTAATAAACATATCAAATTTTTTATTACATTAGTTAATAATAATTTAAGTTCTGTAAAAGGTTTGCAATTAGATTTATACTAATTAAAATTAAAATTAAAAATTATGTATAATAAAATTTTATTAATTTTAAACTTCTTAACTAAAACTTTAAATCATATTTTAATAGGTTATTATTAAACTATATGCTAAATTTAATTTAAATTTAATATTTAAATATAAGTCGCGGTTTTCGATCCTTATCACGTGACAGAGCATTGTTAACATTACATAAATCTATTGGTTAAGCCGATTTTGCCAATTTCGCAGATTTAACATGACTAAAGCCGAAATTAACGGTACCAAAAAAGCTGAACATCCTAATAAGAGGGTATCGAAGTTGTCCTGATACGTAATCTATTTTCTCCGTATTTTTTTAAACTTTTTTATTGAATAAACTCAAATCTTTAAATGCACAAGTCATAATTGTTATATTGCATATTAAAAAATTCAAAGCCAATGCGAGTAAAACTTTATTTTAATTTATAGTAGATAATGTACAGTAAATTAAAAGCAATGTTGAGGGCATTTTAAGCAAATGGGTAAAGAAGGTGCCGGTGATAGTGGTGGTAGAGATATTTGTGACAATGGTGATTGCGGTGGTGGTGATGATTGTAGAACCTATAAATTCAAAGTTAAATATTATGAACCATTAGCTGGTACAACAAACTTAGTTTAATACTTACGGGCTTTTTCCGACGTTTCCTTGATGGTGACCCTAAGTTATAGTTAACCCGTTTCTTATTTCGAGGATTAACTTCACGGGCTGGAGTTAAAGGTAGTATTGACCTCTTCCTCTTGTTTTTTTGTCGGATGTTTTTAAACACTGAACCACCCACAGCAGTATTAGTAGAGACATTATTGTCTCCTTCGTTAGGATCTTCACCTATTTCTCCATTAAAATCGTCACCCACAGTAGGGAAATTATTGTCTCCTTCGCTAGGCTCTTCACCTATTTCTCCATTAAAATCGTCACCCACAGCAGTACTAATACTTATTTCATTATCTATTGTTCCATTGAAGTCTTCACCTACAATATTGCCAGGAGAACGGACCTCATCCTCAGGGTCTTCTATCGTGATCTCAGATTGTTCCCCAAGCTGAGAAAATTTAGAACCTGAACCACTAGCATGTGAGAAAGAAAGATCCATCTCAGAAACATCTGCATCGATTTCAAGTGATAGATCTAGACTTTCCTCACTTTGCCATTCGTTAGAGATTTTTTCAATCTCGGTCCTCTTTGTTATTATGTCATTATCAACTTCGGAAAGTTCCAAAAGAATACGATTCTTCTTAGTTTCGTATGCTAAAAGTTCTCGTGTCTATAGATGACATTAAAATCTACTTAGCCGAGTTCTCAACTTACAGGTCTAGCAAGAACTAAATAACATACCTTCTCGCGCTCCTTAATTATACTGCACCAGAAATTTTTCAAATTGCCCGCACGTCGTAAACGCTCCATCTCTACCTATTATAAGAAAGCTAATGTTAGGTGCGCTGCCTTTTTTATTTAGCAATAAAGGAATACATAGTTTATTCCTTCTTAAAATAAGCAGTCCTTTATTAACAAAGAAAGAGCGTCTGAATAGAGGACTTGGATTGGTTACCAAGTGGTCATATCCAGTAATTCTCCTAGTCAAACAGGCGATCAACAAAGGAGTTACTCTTTCCTTGCAAAATAAAAAAGATAACGCACCTTTTTGTCCAAAATAATATTTATTTCTCTTGCTTTTTGTATAAAACGACTGATCCAAATATTATTAAAGTCCTCCCAAGACGTTTCCAGGGATGACATCGACGAAAGAACCACCATTTCTCTATGACGAAGAAGAAATCCCCAGAACGACTTCTTTAGATAACGATGGTCTCTTAGATATAATACGAGTTCATTGTAACCGATATATGTTTCTCGAACATCGATAAGAGAGGTAGACATCATAAGTGTTAACTTAGTGGATATATTCACGTAAATATGGCCAGAAAGTGAGAGTTTGAAGATGAGATCTTTTTGGAACCTTTGCAACGCGATATTTTTATAAAAATAAAACGCGTGTTCTCGGCGCAGTGGGTTTCTTTAACACATGTATCGAAGTTCATGTATAATGCCATTTTTGGTAGTTAAATTGAGGAGCTAATCCAGAATAGGCAGATCGCAATATTTTACCCGTCCGCATTTGCAGTTTAAATATCATATAGATTATACTAGGAAACGGTACAGAATTTAATTTACTATTTTGAGATGCAAAAAAAATGCTTCCCATGCGTCACTCGTGCAGCACCTGTACAGGTGTGCTTTTGGGAATTATGTTCGTCGTAACGAATTTTGCGAAATCGCTAAGAAATTTTAAATAAATCTCGCGGAATCATTGTTGCTCTAATATAAATTAATTTAAAATTTTCAATTAAAAATATTCTAAATAAATAAATTATAGAAAAAACTATATTGGTTCCGCGAGATTTAATTAAAAATTTCACGTGATTTCTGGGTTTATCACGTGACTCGTGGTTTGGAAATTTCACTTGAAAGCGGGTGTTACACGAGCATTTTTTTTATATTTCAAAATAGCAATTTAAACTCTATTAGAAAATAGAAACCAGATAGTTAATTTTTTTATTTATTTAAGAGGCAAACAATATATAGTATGTTTCATAATTTTTTGAAAACCTATAGTTCAAGATTACTTAAAAACATTTTTAAAATTTTTTATTGTTTTTATACTTAAAATTTATGTTTAATATAAGTTAATAAATATTGATAAAACAATTTTGCCAAAGTTTTTATATATGAGTTATTATAAAAACATAATATAATTTTTCAAATTTTTATAAAAAAATATAATATTTTAAAAATTATTTAGTTTATAATACAATAAAAATTTATTTATTTTAGATAAAATTTTATAAACTATTTGTTTATAATTTAAAAAACAAGTTTGTTTAAGCTTATCTTATAAAATTTTTTAATAAAAATTTTTTAAAACATTTTAATATAAAAATTATTTTTAAAACATAAAAAAAATTATATATATTTTTTTATTATATCATAAAAACTTATTTATTTTATATAAAATTTCAAATTTATTTTCTTTAGGTTTTTTAAAAACTTTTTGTTTAAGCTTTTTTTATAAAGTATCTTAATAAAATTGTTTATAACAGTTTAAAAAAACTTGTTTCTAAATTTTTATATATTATTTAAAATCTTAAAAAATAAATATTTTTTAATAAAATTTATATCATTTTATTCTTGGATTTTAAAATGTATTTAAATAAAATTTTATAAAATTTTAATAATCTTTTTATTTAATTATAAAATAAAATATAAAATCAAAAAAATTCCAAAAAATTATGAAACATATTGTATATCTTTTATTAATACTTAATATTTAAATTATATATCAAATATCTTTTAAGTATAAAGTTATTTTATATCAATTTGTATATCATATACAATTTGTCTAAAAAGTCTTTGAATAAATATTTTTATAATAAATAAACAAATATTTATTTATTAGTTATATAAAATTTTAATAATATATTTTTTATAGGGCTTCTAACAATACCATTTCGATACCACTTTGATATCAGTTTGATACTTAAATTTATAAAAATGTAATAAATCTATAGATATCTGGCAAAAATCCCGATTTTCTTCGAAAAGTCAGATGACAACCTCTTAAACGATCTTAAGAGACTATAAGTATTTTGACGAGAAGAATATCTTTTATTAATGGCCGAAAAAATATTGTCAACATCGATTTCTTAATAATCAAGAATTTAAACTTCCGGCCGAAGAACATTAATGACTAGGCTTAAACACATATCTGAAGTCACATGACATCTGCCGATCCCGAAGCTCCGGAGTGACGTGAAACCCAAAACTTATAATGATTATTAATTTAACATGATTTCACTAATTAACATGTGTTATCAATTAGTAATTGATATCAAGGAATTATAGAATATTATTAATGTGTTTAATTAACATTATCATTCATTTATTTTCTTATTTTATTTTCTTTTTCTTTATTAATTCATATAATCTCCAGGAGAATCACTAAGAATATATGTATTTTATTC